AGCTTAACCAAACGATGGAGAAAGTAAGAAAGGAAAGACATGCGTGTCTGTCTGGTATGAAATATCACATTCACAAAACAGAATATTAGCCATATACAATTCCCTTTCAACAAACTTAACTGGACCATAGCTGATATTAAGTAAATGGATATTAAAAAGACAAAGTTTCTCACTTGCCACGGGATGCATCATCCTGAGGTCGGTGTTGATCGTGTGTATGTCTCCAGATCGGGATAAAGAGGAGGATTAGTTCAACTAGAACTGTCTCATAAAACTACAGCAATCTGTCCTCAAAGATACCTAGAAATTGCACAAGATAATGATCTGTGTCAAAGAAAATGAAAGAAACGAGAACCTTTATTCAGTAATAAAGAAAGCTAACACATTCAAAATGGAATTTCAAGTGGGTAGAAAAGGGCAAATAAACCATAATAAAACTACCGTAGCGACAACGAACTTAAAAAGTAAACAAATGCAAATGGAATGGATCAAATGCAGAAACGGTGTCATGGTAAACTTCTTCATGCTTAATAATCTGCCCGTACTAAACAAGCTGATGGAGACAACCATCCTCCATCACCCATCGTTGTGTAGGGTTAAAATCTGAAATTGAAGGTTTTATTCTTCTTGAGCAGGACCAATGATTGCTAACTAGAAATTACCAAGCACACATACTAAAAATTTGTCATGATTCCAAATGCAGATTTTCTGCTAAATGTCCAGAAACAGTTGACCATTTTGTATCAGGTTGCACATTGTTAGCACCAATTGAATATTAAACTCGGAATGATAGAGTGGGCCAATATCTGCACTGGAATATGTGAAACTATTAAGGGAAGGAAACTGTCAGAAACTGCTATGAACATCGCCCATATCCAGTTACAGCGATAGGAGCTGTATTAATTCTATGGGACTTTACAATACACACAGACGGATCAATCAAAGCTAATCGCCCAGATATCTGTATCAAAGACCACAAGAACAGAATATGCTTGTTTATTGACGTGGCAGTTCCCGAAAATGTATCAACACACAACGATCTGGAAGAAGAAATCTAAAATATGTGGCAAATAAGGACATCAATAAATCCAGTTGTAGCTGGATCCTTCGGATTGGACAAGGTTCCGATAAATTCATTCAAGCGATTCCTGGTAGTTTATGCCTTAATGAAATAAAAACTGCAGCTCTCAAATTGCAAAGATCTTTATGTATGTGAAACGTCTAAGATCTTAGGTTTTTTAATAAAAAATGATCAGTGGGAGATGTCATGGAGCCATTTCTGATCTTAGGCCGCTTATTAGGACCCGAAAAAATGTGTATAAAACAAAAACCCAAGGAAATCATAATAATAATAATAATAATCTCAAAAATGCGGTACCTTTAAACGGAAATCTCAAAAATGTGGTACATGGGAACATACACTATCGATGTTGTAGTTGGAACCCTCGGATTGGTTGGAAAAGATGCCAGTAGACTAATTGAAGGGATTCCTGGAAGCCCATGCCTTAAAGAAATACAAAAATAATTGTTCTCACGAGTAAAGCCCGCACCTTACGAAAAGCTTTATCTATGTAAAATATGTTTGTGTTTTTTTTTTTTATTTGGTCAGAGGAAAATGTCATGGTGTCATTTCTAACCTTAGGTCTCTGGGAGGGACCCGGAACGAAATGTGTACACACCAGAAATCAAAGGAAATAAATAATAATAAAACTATCAAAATACAAGGATCTGGAAATGGAAATGACAACGATATGGCACATGAAGTAATCTCCATTTGTAACTCGAAATCTATGTGTATGATCTTTTTTTGTTCCTTTTTCACAAAAATGATCAGTATAATATGTCATGAAGGCATTTTTGACTTTAGATCTCTGCTTGGGACCCAGAAAGAAAAGTGTGACAACAATAGACGTGAAGAGAAATAATAATAATAATAATAATAATAATAATAATAATAATAATAATAATAAACTTTTTAAACTCTTAACCCTCTCATACAGACAGTTTCATACAATCTTACAATCATCAGGAATATTAGACAAAAGTAGAATGAAATCAATGTAGGTGGTATTTTTTGGTAATGGTGGAGTCTATACTTTATGAAACACTTAATCTCTTGAGGTCTAGAATTTTTCTATAATAAATCTTCCTCTGGGCCTAGATATATTCAGAAAGTCCTGTCGTTTATTCAACATTCTCTTGTCAGCGATGTCCCGCAATATGATCAACCTTTCAAAGAGAAACTGACTGCATCACCCAACTTTTCTACCATGTGGTTACTGAATGCTGAATATTTCTCATTTTATATTAGTTTTAATTCTTCCCATAGCCCACTATCTCCTTTACAAACTTTTATTACATCTCTTATTATTCAATACCCATTTTGCATTTATAATACCCCCTTTTTCCCCATTGTGTTAGCTTTCCACATTTATCCTTGGTAAAAGAATCAATGATCTAAAAATGACCTGTGATTAATTGGCGCAAGGAATGGCTTGTTCATTTTTGACTGCTCGAAGACGAAACGTCTCTCTTTCAGCCGCTTGCAAGAAGCCTATTTGCCTTCCAACACCATGTCTGATGCTAACTCCCAGAAGAGTTACTCGTTGCAATTTATCGTTCTAACGTTTTCCGCTGACATGTAGTGGAATGATGATATTGAAACAATTGTTAGGTTTTTTTGCTATGAAAGTTCGTTCAGTGGGTCAAGATTTTTTTTTCTTGCCAGTATCTATCTTACATATTTATAAGTCTGCCATTCAATTTCACGTTGACTATTGCTGACACATCTGGTCTGAAACTCCTGCCATATCGTGATTGCATTTTCGATTCACACGATATAAATTATATTACATATGAAGATCGGTACACTAGTTGAGTACAAGTGGCCCTAATGGAATCTGGGAAGGTCAGTACACTTGGAGAACCTGAAATACTTTCTTCCGACAAGAACCACGTTTTGATTCGTAAGAAGACTTGTTCCTTAAGAATTGGGGAATACCGAAATGTACTTTGTCGGCTTACCACCCACAAAGCAATGGCCGGGCAGAACTGGCCGTCAAACGGCTAAGCGTCTACTTGCAGACAACACGGAGAGCTGTGGTCGGATGTGACATGAGTGTACAGCTCGTGCTTTTCTGACCCAACACTACACTCTTGTCCATGATCTTGGTATATCTCCTGCTATGGTGTTATACGATCGTGCTATCAAAGACCACCTGCCTTTCCTACGTGATAAATACCAGATACGTAAAACGTGGAGATATTGGTGACCCCAGAAGCAGTAATGGCTAAAAGACACATGCGGAACGAACACTTTACAAAGAAAATTGTCGCCCGATATTGGAATTATAAAATGGCGATTATTTTCAGATCCAGAATCAAGATGGCCGCTAGCCTCGTCGGTGGACGAAAGCAGAGAATCGCAGAGGTACTCGGTAACCGGCAGTACTGTGTACGGGTGGATGGAAGCAATCGGGTAACTCTACGTAACCGTCGCTTCCTCAGTAAGATCCGCCCATTTATTGACATCCCACATCATTCTACACAGGGAATGAGTCCCTCGACCTCATGGCACCCCGATTTACAGCCGGTTCAAGACAGCAACACGGAAAATAAGTTAACCACATCTAGGCCAGAACCGTATAACCTCTGCAGGTCCTGGGGCCAGGCCGCAGCGACCCAGAGAATCTTCCATGGTGATCGACACTGATTATAATCCCTTATCACCCAACAGACAACATAAAACAAATACTGCGATTTATCAAACCAGAAGAAATGGAAATTGAATGACACCGAGGATTTACTAGACCCAACACAAAATAATATTGGAGAACACTAATATCGGACGACACCAGCCCCAAGACAACGCCCACTTCGAAGTACGCGAACACCACAAACTCTATCTCCACAAATGCGAAGACAGTCGCTCACATATTCTGGGAAAAATCTTCAAATGGCTACGTCAATCCGTCCTGTAGTCAGAGGACGGATGTGGCGTGTAGAGTAGAAATTAAAAGTTTCATTAGATAAATGGGCGACTTTCACAGGCAGACATAAATTACCTCGTCCAGTGTTAAAACAGCTGAATGACCATGAGGCTATATATATATATATATATATATATATATATATATATATATATATATATATATATATATATATATATATATATATATATTATCTCGTTGTACGAGAATAAAGTAATTGAGAATTACTACAAGTTTTTCAGTTGTGGTTAAAGTAAACACATATTTAGGGATAAACAATATTTAGGGATGTATATTTAGTTTTATCGACATATATATTGAAAAAAAATATTGTTACTGAAACGTTCAACCATTTTAACATAATTACCTAATGCTAGGATAATTCTGTCATTAAAACACTGTGTTCTAGACAATAAAGTTGATATTATTCCTAAAAATTCATAGAATACTAAATATACAATAGATTTACCTGTATTCATTCAAAGCACTTAGGATTTCTACTTTGCTAAATTCAGTGCCAAATTTCTTGGATTATACAAAGTAAATCATTCTCTTTATGTCATATAACCCCGGTTTTTATTTAAATTATCTGTGTGTTTTGAATTATGTCTATTACATAGCAGTTCTTTGAACTGTCCCTTCTATTATTGCTCCTGATTATGACAGCTCCGGTCGCCCTGTGGTTGGACAATATTGAATCAGACATGGCTGCCTGCATCTAAAATCGTCTTCCTCACTGCATCAATTCATGACTGACGTTTAATTCGTTATAGGAGATATTTTAGTTTTTTCCCTGAATACTGCATCATCTCTCCTTTACAATTTTTCATTTACCACCTCGGATCGTCTTTCTTCTCTTATTTCTTTATTTATTTCTCGTGTAACTTTGTCCGGAACTCGTCTAATTATTTGTATATGCTTTTTAAAACGTTGTCTTTTATTTATTCTGCCATTCTTTAATTTTTTACCGATTTAACCTTTCCTATTCATCAAGTCTAGCCTTTTTTATACATGTATCTTTATTTCTTTAGTTTTCTAATTGTCTCTCTCTGGCCTTTCTTTTTATTCTTGTTTCTTTGCTTGTCTTTCTTTTTCATTTTTATCTATTTTCTCTTTCTTTTCTTCTTTCTGTTTCTCTTTTATTTATTTTTCATTTCAATCTTCCTTGTCTTTCTTACATTCTTCCTTTATTCCTTCTTTTTGTTTCTACCACGGCTCGTCTTATTTCGGCCTTCATTTTTTAGATTTTCTCTCTTTCTATCACCATTCGAATACCTTCTTTCTTTCTTTCTTTCTTTCTTTCTTTGCTTCCTTCCTTCCTTCCTTCCACCTCAATCAGCCCTGTGGTCAGAGGACGAAGTGGGGCATGTAGAGTAGAACCGAAAAGTTTCATTAGATAAGTCTCATTTTTCTTTCTTTCTTTCTTTTTTTTCTTTCTTTCTTTTTCTTTCTTTCTTTTTCTTTCTTTCTTTCTTTCTTCCTTTCACGTCAATCCATCCTGTGGTCAGAGGACGCAGAGTAGAAATGGAACGTCTCATTAGCTAAGTCTTTCTTTCTTTCTTTCTTTCTTTCTTTCTTTCTTTCTTTCTTTCTTTCTTTCTTTCTTTCTTTCTTTCTTTCCTTCCTTCCACGTCAATCTGTCCCGTGGTCAGAGGACGGGGTGGTGCATGTTGAGTAGAGCCAGAAAGTTTCATTAGATTTTCTTTCTTTCTTTCTTTCTTTCTTTCTTTCTTTCTTTCTTTTCTTTCTTTCTTTCACACATTCTTTCTTCCTTCCCCGTCAATCGATCCTGTGGTCAAAGGACGGAGAGTAGAAATGGAACGTCTCATTAGCTAAGTCTTTTCTTTCTTTCACCGTTACTATATATCATTTTTCTTTCGATCAACATTGGTATTTTTTTTTTATCCGATCATAATTCGTATTTTTTTAATTTGTATCACATTTGGTATTTTTTAAAATTTTTCTTTATTTTTTTTATCAATCATTTTTATTCTTTCTTTCAAAATTGGTATTATTTCTATTTTTTTTCTCGTTGAATCACATTTGATGTTTTTCTGATTTTTTTTTATTTTTTCATCGCCATTTATATTCTTGCCTTTATTTCTTCTCTCCCAAAATTCGTCTTATTTGTTCTTTCTTTTCTTTCTCTTTCTATCACTGTTCTTATCCTTTACATCCTATCTCACTTCCCCTTTTGTATCCTTTATACCAACTTAATAAGATATTTTTATTACTCTTTCTTCCTTACCTTTCTTTAGATTTTTCTTTTTTCGCTTGCGTTTATTCCTAATGCCATTCATTACTTTTTATTCTTTCGATTCCATTGGTTTTTATCTTTATTTTACATATTTTATGTTTTAATCCTTTTCCGTTTCCATTAACGTTTTCCTACCGTATTTCCTCTCTCACTTTCTCTTTTTATTCTTCTTCGTTTACGTTTATTTCATTTTTTTTTCTATGCTATCTTTTGGCTTTCTTCTGTATCTAAATTTACATGAGGTTGATAAAAAAAATACAATGGCTGCCAACAGCCTCCTTACTGACTTATCTGCCCATAACAATGCTCGCGCAAGTGTGTATGGATGCCGTTAAGTATCCGTACGATGGACAAATTAATTTCGTGGAAGACAGGCTTATATATTTCTCAACATAAAATTCGATGCAGAACGTGGAATAAAATATCTAGAAATGCATATTTTCTTAAGATAAGCCTGAACACTGCTATTGTTGCTCACGTAAGAGTTTTCTGTATACGGTGGGGTGCATATTGAAGATAGGCCGTTTATGATGACAATGAAAAATTCAAAACTGTATCAACATATATTTTTTTTTAAACTGAAAACAATCTCGCGTTACAAATATTTCCCGGATACACTTTCAACGTAAATTGATTAGAAGCTATAATATACCACAATCATAGCTGAGAAAATATTTCATCGAATAGGAAAAGCAAAATAAATTTCACCCAGTTATAAGCAGATAATAAGCAAACGTATATTTCCGCGTGAAAGTTATCGATATTTCTTTTCACGAAAGAACTGCTGGATCAACTTCGTCTATACTCGGTGTTACTGTAGTTTTCTTTCTCCCGAAATACGCAAAGGAGAGTCCGTTTAATGTTCATCATTTACCTATTTAAAAAACAAAATTCTTGCTATAAAGCGTAATGTTGGTATTCTCTTCCGAAAACTAAGGCAATGCACAGGATGTTTCGAAAGTCTTGTCACCCCCTATAAAAAATTCTTGCTATAAAGCGTAATGTTGGTATTCTCTTCCGAAAACTAAGGCAATGCACAGGATGTTTCGAAAGTCTTGTCACCCCCTATAAAAAATTCTTGCTATAAAGCGTAATGTTGGTATTCTCTTCCGAAAACTAAGGCAATGCACAGGATGTTTCGAAAGTCTTGTCACCCCTATAAAAAAAATTCTTGCTATAAAGCGTAATGTTGGTATTCTCTTCCGAAAACTAAGGCAATGCAGGATGTTTCGAAAGTCTTGTCACCCCCTATAAAAAATTCTTGCTATAAAGCGTAATGTTGGTATTCTCTTCCGAAAACTAAGGCAATGCACAGGATGTTTCGAAAGTCTTGTCACCCCCTATAAAAAATTCTTGCTATAAAGCGTAATGTTGGTATTCTCTTCCGAAAACTAAGGCAAATGTTTAAAGTCTTGTCAATAAAAAATTCTTGCTATAAAGCGTAATGGATTCTCTTCGTTTCACAGGATGTTTCGAAAGTCTTGTCACCCCCTATAAAAAATTCTTGCTATAAAGCGTAATGTTGGTATTCTCTTCCGAAAACTAAGGCAATGCAAGGATGTTTCGAAAAGTCTTGTCACCCCCTATAAAAAAATTCTTGCTATAAAGCGTAATGTTGGTATTCTCTTCCGAAAACTAAGGCAATGCACAGGATGTTTCGAAAGTCTTGTCACCCCCTATAAAAAAAATCTTGCTATAAAGCGTAATGTTGGTATTCTCTTCCGAAAACTAAGGCAATGCACAGGATGTTTCGAAAGTCTTGTCACCCCCTATAAAAAATTCTTGCTATAAAGCGTAATGTTGGTATTCTCTTCCGAAAACTAAGGCAATGCACAGGATGTTTCGAAAGTCTTGTCACCCCCTATAAAAAATTCTTGCTATAAAGCGTAATGTTGTTATTCTCTTCCGAAAACTAAGGCAATGCACAGGATGTTTCGAAAGTCTTGTCACCCCCTATAAAAAATTCTTGCTATAAAGCGTAATGTTGGTATTCTCTTCCGAAAACTAAGGCAATGCACAGGATGTTTCGAAAGTCTTGTCACCCCCTATAAAATATAATGAGAACAACTGCAGAACAAGTAATATAGAAATACAAGTTCTGGACTCAGTTTATTCACTTTCATTGACGCTGCCACACATCGAGAAGGTCTGTATGAACACCATCATTTTCGTGGCACTAACTGATGCAGCGCCATGTCTGGTGTGATATTTTACGAAGCTGTGCTTCGTTGATTATTGCAAAGGCTCTCCAAAGGGCGCCCTTCAACTGCTGGTTATTCTTGTATCGTTCATGTGAAACTCTCTCATTGATACACTGCATTTATATATTTATATATGTGTGTGACAAGACTTTCGGACCGCCCTGTATATTCCTTATTGGCAATATCACCAGTCACGAAGAACGGATATTCAATCAGGTAATCGTCGGGCGTGGAGCGTCTTAAAATCAACCTAGATCCCAAGTGAAAACCTTACAAAGATACTGAAAAAATAGTCGGTTCTCTACATCGCACAAGTAAGTACCCGACTCCTCCTATTGTCCTCTACCTTGACAAGAGAACGATCAAGCTAAAAATAGAGTAATGTTGCCATATATGGACAGGAGCTGCTCAGTTTTCATTTTCCAGTATCGAGATAGTTCAAAAGCGTCCCCGTGTCTTTGTGAATAACAAATTATTTTCTACCTTATAATCCCTTTCTCAGATGAAACGTCGCAAGGTTCTCGCTGTTCTATCGATATTTCCATGGAAAGTGTCCAGACGAACTAAATTTATTGGTTCCTTCAGTTATAAACTTCACAGCTAAGACCTGACATGCTCCGCACATTGTAGCGAAAGACACTGATTCCCTTCGTATTCCATTATATAAATGTTACTCGGGTCAGCTTCTTCTCACAAACCGCTGCTCTGTGGAACCGACTCCCACGAGGTTACTTCTTCGATCACTACAATCTTAAGTTGTTTCAATTTAGGGTTAAACGTCATAGTCTCCACATATACGCAATATACAGTTTCTTAGTCTGTAATACTCTGTCTCGAGTGGCTACCGGCATTGTACAGGATTAATATCAAAATAAAAAAATATCGAAATACCGTACAGCCGCATCAACATACAAAATCATGCTAATGATGATTTCTCAATCTAATACATTGAAATCGAACAAAATTTCTTCATCTGGGGTAATTTCTTCTTAAAAATGAATTAACTGTAATGTTATAACGCAAGTATTTATTTTCTTTCAAAAAATCAGATCACGCTCCTTCAGTTATCAGTCAGTTATTTGCCATGCGTGATACACGCTTAGGCGATCATGTATCTTTCGATGCATGACTGACGAGACAGATTGATTTCCTATATTAGGTTGCCATTTCTTTCTGCGGTAGACCAGTTGCTATACAAGGCTATAAAACACGTTCTGTGCTGTTATTTACCCATCAATGTTGGTGGGGAAAAGAAGATGATTAATACCTTTCCCAAGAGTATTAACACGTAAGTGAATGTAATGTATTCGAGTGGAATTCGAACTCGGCACTCGGATTCCTCAATACCAGCCGCTATCCATTGCTCCACCGTGCCTCCTTCAGTTATACTGAATAATAAAATGTAACTCCCATACTAGAGTAGAAGCACACTTTTAAAATATATCTTCCAGTAGGATCCTCACAGAAGAGGCAATACTACAGTAGGGTCTTCACAGATGTTCGCATAATAGTGTTGGATCTTCATAGAAGAATGCATATAACAGTATGCTCTTCGACGATGCCCATACATAACATTAGCATCTTCACAGAAGACCGCATACTATAAGTGAATCGTCACAGAAGATTGTATATAATAGTAGAGTCTTCACAGAAGACCGCATAATAATAGTGTTGATTTTCACAGCCATACTTCAGCAGGATCTTCACAGAAGTCTGCGTATAAAATTCGGATCTTCAAAGAGAAACACAAATAACAATATGATCTTCAGAGAAGACCGTACAGTACTATGACTCTATAATAACAGTAGGGTTTTCAAGGAAGACCGCATAATAGTTGGATTTTCGCAGAAGACCACATCGTACAGTAGTATCTACACAGAATAGCTGTAGGATCTTCACCGCATAATGAAGTTGGATTTTGACAGAAGAACCCCTACTACAGGAGGATCTTCATAGAAGTCTGCATGCAACAAATTTAAAGATGACCACATATAACAGCAAGCCCTTCCTAGAAGACTGTATACTACAGTAGAATCTTCACCGAAGACCGCATGATAAAGTTGGATTTTCTCAGAACTCATACTATAACAGGCTCTTCAAAGAAGCCTGCATGTAATATTAGCGTCTTCAAAGATGAACACATATAACAGTTGAATGTTCACAGAAGACCGCACGACAGGAGGTTCTTCGCCGAAGATTGTATATAACAGTATGATTTTCACAGAAGACCGCAGAATAAAGTTGGATTCACATAGGAAGACCGCATACATTAGTAGAGTCTCCACAGAAAATTGCATGTAACAGTAGTATATTCCCAGAAAACTGCATACTACAGTTGGATGTTCTCATAATAGCACATACTACCGCTCGAACGTCATAGAAGACCGCATGATTAAAAAGTGGAGGGCTGAGTATGCTGAACTTGTAAAGAAAAATTGAATCAGCACACACATATCAAATTTACATTGCACTAATGTCACTTCTAAAATCCTATGTTTAATAATCACAGTTGACATGGTTAGGCTATAACGTAATCTTTTGGTGCAATATAACGAAATATAACCTGTCGTGTTTTTCTTGGAAGGGAGATGAACACTGAAAAAGTACAATGAAATCCCTAGAATAGTGACATGGCAGTGGTTGGACATTTTGAATTTATTTGAACGTAGGAAAAAATTAAACAGAAATATAAAAACCTTTTGAGCAATGGCGGTTGTTTCTAAAATTGATATAGTGTAAAATCGATCGTTGACTTTTACAGAGTTATTGAATGATTATTTTAAAATATAATTGATGTCTGCATATTTTGATTTTCATTTTTTTTACTTTTTAACCGTTTTCTTTAACTTTATAAAACGTTTATTAAGAAAATATTTTAAAAAATATATTTGGGTGGTATTTTTTTTTTCGGAACAATATTCACAAAAATTTGAAGTTAATAATTATTCATCTTAAATGAAAATTAATCAGATTTATTAATTTATGTGTTTTTTTTTCCTTTAATTAAAAATGCATATATCCTTTTCTTCTTTATTTTTTGCAACCACTAACCAAAAAAGGCATGTTTTAATAGGAAAAAAACAACTAGGTATAAGAATTCTGTAAACGACATGGATTATAAACAGAAGCCCATCCTCAATGGTTAAATAAATAAATATTTTCCTTATGAACATTATTCGGACTATTGTCCTCATCTTTGTCGTCACATTTATTACAACGTTTCGGCCGTTGTACGCTCTGACCTTCTTCAGATGGTTGGAATGTTGAACTGAGCCCTTTATTTCGCTTACTGGTCTAGTTCCATGTGACATGTTTAATGGATGGCAGTTATCAGTTATCTCCTGTTAATTTCCCTCTGAACGTTCTCCACTGCCTTAGCCGGGTATTGAACTCGCACTGTTTTAGGTCCTGTCACTGGATCTAACCAACGTCTTTATCCACTGTGCCATGTGTCCTTGAGAACAATGTCCACAACTTCCAAGTAATCCCGAAAGCTATTGCAGCAGCAATGTTACAGTTTTTTGTGTATATACTATGTAACTAGTGAGCGAGTCAAAATGACTTAATTCCCTTTATAGTCTACAAATAGAAGGTGGACCAATCAGAAGCCGCACAACACTGGATCCGTCGTGTATAAAGGCGGCCATCTTTTTTTCCTATCGGAATGACCAGAGGCAACTTGTCCGGCGAACAGGACAGACGGAAGAACTACGCTCTGCTACCTTGCTGCGATATCCACTGCGAACCTGCACTACGCTTTCCTACTATCTCCGAAATATTCACTGCGAACCTCTGGATTCTATACTCGAAGGCGACCGTCAAAATGTCTAACAAGCAATGCATCTGCTCATTTATTTTTTTTTCAGTTTGGACACAAAATTTCATGAGATCATTATTGAGATAATACAATATTTTTTTCTTTAAACATTAACTTTGGATGTGTCAAATAATTGAAATGATATCATGACGCACGTAGTATAAATCAAGAGAACTGAGTAATGGAACGGCAATAGAAATAAATGCCATTACAAATAGATAAGCAAATAGCAGACAAATGGAGAAGATAAGACACCCAATGCAATACAGTTGAAGGCTGGGCGCTCTCATCCAGATAATCTTTCCATTTTGGTGAAATAATCAAACAAAGGATAAAGAAGAAATGTTATTTAATGTGTGATGTCAACGAACACTCATTTCTACTTTTGTAATGTCAATGAATACTCATTGTCACTTTCGTAATGCTCGTTGTAGTAGAGACTTTGTAATCGCAGATACAACTATAGTAACGCTGTTGAACAATTCTGGTGTCAGACGCCTTCGAATAGCACTCGCACTAATGGTACTTGCTCGATAATACTCGCTCGAAAGATAACCACCGAATAGTGACCCGTATAGTAAATAGTATAAAGAACAGCGATCCATATATTAATAGAGGATAGAGTAGAAATAGTGATCCGTATAGTAATAGAGGATAGAATAAAGATGATGATCTTTTAGACGTCACGCTATTTAACATATATACATTTCATTTGCGATCACGTGATCTGCTTATTCAAAATGGGATCACATGTGTTTGCTCTCTGGCGATCTATGCTCCACCTACAGTGTCGGCCGCAACACTTTATTCTTATATAAGTGTTTAAAGTTCCCTGGTCTAACGAAAACGTTAAATAAAGCCAGAAGTCAACAATCTACTCATAGATATGTTCTATTGATACTTCGGCGATGCTAATACTAGGACAACAAAAGCTGATCCACAACGAGGCATTAAACGGAGTCAATTGGCATTAGTAAAAAGAAACATGGCCAATATTTATTTTGAAGATGATGTCTTTAAATGAAAATATATCTATTATGCGGGTGGAACAAATATTAGTAGCGCTTTTCAAGAGAGGACATTGCCAAGCCTCGTTTCGCTTCAGACATGATATATTAATGCGTCTTTTCGATATTAACTTGCAACTCTGGACTGTGCTTAATTTGATAGCTGCATATTTCATTTAAGGAAGAGAATTCAATTCGCTGTAACATTTGTAAAGCCACTTTGACAATTTCGTTATCCAAAACGATGTCAAAACCTGGGTGGATGTAATCATTAAACTATCTCAAAGATAGCGAATGGTAGTGCGCATATTAGGTTGAATAAAACTCTGTAACTGGTCTTTTAAATTCTCTTACAATACATAAATGTTTTTCGAGTTACGTTTGTTAGATTTTATTAAAAGCCATATAAATTCATTAACTGCTTTAAATTCATTTTTTTATTGATTAATTGATTCGTTGTCTATGGCTTATCAAACTTTTACGGGTTATTTAAAACCAGGACATATTTTTAGACTGTAATAATTTCTTTGAGATAATAATGGTTTAGCCATATAAATATTAATAATTAAGGCATAGCCGTGAAAGAAGAGGGGAATTTATACCTTTCCCAAAATTATTATCTAGCTAGTTGTGTTTGTTTTAGCGACATATCAAACACTATGGGTTATCTAATGTTGAAATCTAAATATTTTATAGGCGATTCTATTTTTAGCTTTGGATCTAACAATAGATTTAGTGATACAAGTCTTACTTATGAACTCATAGCTGGGAGAGAATAGGTGGAGTCATACCTTTCCAATGTGTATTTGCGCCTAAGTGAATATAATAAACACAACTGGAATTAAGTATTATGAGCCATTATCCATTACACCACAAGTAACATCGAATCTTACAGTATTCCCAAGCGGGCACACATCTAGGTACTGGCCATGCACGAAGTTGCTTAACTTCTGTGATCATACGGGAACCGGTGATTCAACGTGATGTGTCCGTAAAACAACCGTATTTGCGCGTAAGTGAATACAATGAATCCGACTAGAATTCGAACTCAACTCCCCGATTAACAATTCCGAGCCATTATCCATTACAACCCCTGAATATTCAACCTTACAGCAACTGGCATTCCTAAGAGGTCACCCATCTAGGTACTGACCAGGCTTGACGTTGCTTAATTTCATTGATCGTACGTGAACCGGTGTTTCAACGTGATATGGTTGTAAGCTGAACAACTTCATAATCCAGCATTTTTATTTGTCGTTCTCAACTCTAGGATCTATTATATTACTCCAGGGATTTCAAATCGTTGTTGTTGGTGTTCAAACATTCCTGGCAAAACTGAAATATTTTGTGAGATTTCATTATCGTGTAAACGGGAAAGAAGAGGGAAAATATCCCAAATAAGCAGTAACAGTTTTATATTGACAGAATATTATGTTTTCTTTTAACTAATTCTAAGAGCTCTTCATTAATTAATGCATTCTTCTGTTGCTCAGTTTTTAAGAATTACTTGTTCGAGTCGATCGTTTGATTTTCCTGGTGCATCTCATAATAGAGGAAAACTGATTTATCCTCTAAATTACAGGATCATATTGTTTAAATGGACGTCGACATATGGTGGGTGCAATAATGGTTTACTTCTCTTGCCTGCAATAGCGTTCCGCGTTGGTTTAAAATATTTACTCTTTGTTGACTAAAAAATTTGGTTTAAAAAAAAAATATGGATCATTTTGGGTACGTTTTTATGTAGTGAATCTCACATGTAAATCACAGCTCAACTTTTCAAAGCTTTTCATGGATATGGTGGATTAATTCCCATTCGTATGATGTTGATTCTCCTTAAGCGATATTTTCTTTTGATCTATGACAGGTCTAACAAGCCGTGAAATTACTAGCACAAATCTATGCCAAACATTTTTGTGAATATTTACTCTAGAATCTCCATCAATTGTAGACACAGACACACACAAAGACGCACACAAAGACACTCATAACGACACACATAGATATATATATATATATATATATATATATATATATATATATATAAATATATACGGAAAAAAAAAACAAAAAAAACAAACAAAATGCTTATATACAATTATGCTGTTTTAATGTTAATATGTCAACGTCGGACGTTTCGGTCTAATAAACCATCTTTTTTACATATTCATAAATTATAACATTATCAATACAACATTTGAAAAAGACGATGTACATAAGAAAAAGTCTTATCAAACAGATAACTGAAATATAACAATGACCATTTTTAAACGGAAGCTGATCTTATAAAACTTTCAGTTATCTGTTTGGATATTAACATTAAAAACAGCATAATTGTATATAAGATTTTGTTTGTTTCTTCCGTATATGTTTTTCTTCAAACTGTCAGATTTATATCCATATATTTGCTTGCATATATATATATATATATATATATATATATATATATATATATATATATATATATATATATATATATATAGGCTGTCCATAAAGTTCGTGTGCACTTTAAAAATTTATAACTTTATTTGTATCTGCGAGAGAAATAATTTGTAAAAAATGTTATAAAGTTACTTAGTTTTAAGTATAGCTAAAATAACTAATGTGATTTCAGGCATTATTGTAAATCAGTTGGCAAATGTTTTCCGTGAACTGCAAAATCGTATTACCCTTTGTATTGCTAATGGTGGAGGCATGTGGAAACTTAAATAAAATTTCAATAAAACCTTAAAAAATATAGATTTGCTTCTTTCTAATCCTTTTTACAAATTATTTCTATCGCAAATAAAAATAAAAGGTATATTTTTTAAAGTGCACACGAACTTTATCGACACCTATATATATATATATATATATATATATATATATATATATATATATATATATATATATATATATATATATATATATATATATATATATATGATCGAAATAAAAGTGTAAAATTTAATATTACAAGTCATATTAAAACAATATTAAATAATAAAAAAAACTCAAAAACAAGGGCGGGGGAAGCAACCGGTTTCGCTCCCGCTCGTCAGTCTTCCATGGGAGATTCAAAATTAAAACAGAAATGTACAATAAGAATAGGTGGAAAAAAATATACATATATATATATATATATATATATATATATATATATATATATATATATATTTGTATATATGCAAGAAGGAACTAGAGGCAGATGACAGCGAGTCCCAGCAAGCACTCACGTTGTTTGCACAAAGAAGGCTTGCGGGACCCGATGTAAAAGCGCCTCCAGAACCTTCAGATGAAATACAGAGTGTGACCTGGCCAACACGGTGAACCAGTCGACACTAAATTTGGAAGCACAATCTCTGCTATTTAAAAGATGTTCGCATCGTATATATATATATATATATATATATATATATATATATATATATATTCTGTTTATACGTTATTTTAATCTATATGTAAGTTAGTATACGTAATAGTCTGTCTCTTTAAAAATAAACTGTATTAAATACATTTATCTGCCAAAATGCTCGAGAAATTTCGCAGAAACGTTCTCCGATAGGAATCGCACCTGTGTTCTTTACGGAACCGTTAAATGATCCGGCGTGTTATACTACTCAGCTACAGAGAAGCTTATGTTTAGCAAAATTCGAGTCACTGTTTATAAACAACAAATCTTCCATGATGTTTCCTGAATGATCATATCTGCTAACGAAATGCAATTTGAACTTTGCTAACAATTATGATATAATAGGCCGGTTAATAAAATTCGAATAATAAAAGCGAACAAAATGATAACAATATTACCAATAAAGTTGATATGACTACGAAGAGATAGATTTTAATGTCGGACTTTTCGAATAAGCCTCTGTTCTTTTTCAACGATGCGAAAAATAAACAAAAAAGTGGGACTTACTCTTCTGACGAATGCTGGTTAGAAGTCTCCCTGTGGAAATTATAATCCCTGATAAAATCCAAATCCCTGTTTAATCCCTCAATGTTTGAATTCATTTTGAAAATAATTTTCAACTTCGATCTGTTAAAAGCACGCATCTGATGACATCGGTGCTATGAAATGGTTGATTTAAGTGAGCAGTGAGGTATGAATGGTGAAGTTGATTCGCTTTAATTATACACACACACACACACACATATATATATATGTGTATATTTTGGCAGTATGTTTTCATTGAGACATGGTTCGTTGAATAATTTAGACATGTTCTATGTACTTATTTTCAAGTGGATCATTTCATATTCAGGGATAAGCTTTTTGGTGTTGTTATTAAAGGGGGAAATAAAATCGCCGTGTTGATACATATTTCTTTTATTCTGAGTACTTTCGACATAGCAAAATTTCATCATCAGGGTATTTTTTTTATTGAAGACAAAGCTTTGTTGTAGTGTCTCCAACATAAACAAAAACGTTGTCTCGGCGGCTAAGTTTTCAATTGAATACTATGTCCAACATTTCTAAATATTTACAGTAACATACCTGTCCACATTCGTAATTCAGAAAAATTCTCGTCGAAAATACTTCTATACTTTTTGACGAAAATAATAAAGATTAGCTAAAAATTCTCGAGGCTATCTATATTAAAAAAATGAATCCAAACCTTAATAAAAGTAATTACGAATACTTTAAAATCTCTTAAAATGTGTACAATAGATAGTTTGAAATAGTATTTTTATGAAATATTTCGTAAAATCTCTCCACAACCATACTATTTACCTCCTCTTAAACGGTGTGAGTGATGATGCACTGACTCAACGTTCTTCACTTCACAAGTAAGAATGTTAACTTTCAGATGAACACAACAATTTCGTCTTCAACAATAATGAACACTACAATATTTGTCTTGCAATAAACAATACCCTGATGATGATATTTTACTATGTCGAAAGTACTCGGAATAAAAGAAATATGTATCTTCACGGTAATTTTCTCTCGTCCTTCATCAACGACACCAAAAGCATATCCTAAATTATTCAACGAAATATATATATATATATATATATATATATATATATATATATATATATATATCAGATTAATAATTCAAATCGGTCTGTCGACTTCAAATTCAAAAGCGTTCGTTTTTGTTTACTCTTTCTGTAAAACTTCGTCGTTGCTCACAATTTTGGTATTCTCAGCTAGAATCCATTACATTCACTTACGTGCTAATATCCTTGGCAAAGAAATGAATGTTCTTCTCCTACTAGCTATGGGTAAAATAACAGTACAGACCGAGTTATATAGCCTTAGATGTCAACTGGTCTACGGCAGAATGAAATGGCAACCTACTGCGGGGAAAAATATCTGCCTTGTCAGTCATGTATCAAAAGATACATGATCGCCTATGCTTGTATCACACATAGCACATAATGGAATTGATTCTCAGCATTAATGCCGCTCTATAGAGGACCACATTTCTGTTGCTGCAAGTCTCTCCACCATCTGTAGTGAAACTGGCCAGCATTCACTGCCATATAGGCGTACCGATATAATTTTTAAAGTAAAAGACGACTATAGAAAAATACGTTAAGTCGATGGATAAATCTGTAGTATGAGCAACGAATGTGTTCCTCGAAACTCCTACATATGAATAACACAGCTTGACATTAACCCACTTCATATAAATCGGGTCTAATTTTTCATCAGTCACACTTTATGCAAAACGATTCACTTTGGAATGATTCGAGTGAACTTATTTTTTATTTGTTATTTTTAAAGAGTGAATAACCAAATCTTCCAGTGACTCGGAGAAGCAAAATTTTGACATTCTCCATTGGAGAGATGGGAAAGAAAGTTGTCTTTTCTAACTTTTGATACCATAAATCACGAACCTCAACCATTTCCTTTATTCTGCTGTCTTTTTCCAATCCTGATGTCTAGACAAAATAGCTCGGGCAAAATTGGAAAATGTTTTTATCGCCTAGTTTTTAAAGTAATTAGATTTATCAAAGACACGTGCGACATTTCCACACTTTTTTGAATTTTGCTAATAGAAGAGTTTATTTGTGCAATTATACAAATCTTTTAAATAAAGTTTTTGTTTATCTATCGAATGAATAATATATTCATGCAGGGTCGGTGCAAGGGTCTTGTATCCTCACCGATCTATGATACGTACTCACCACTCTAATATATCTTAATTTACATAATGTAGTATTTATATAAAATACAAATTTTATTGTAACCTAATTATGTACAGTAATGGATCATATGCAATATAC